TGTGTGAGGAAGATCAGCCCTGAGCTAACATCTGTGCTAATCCTCCTCTTTTTGCTGAGGAAGACTGGCTCTGAGCTAACATCTATTGCCAATCCTCCTCCTTTTTTTTCCCCAAAGCCCCCGTAGATAGTTATACTTCATAGTTGCACATCCTTCTAGTTGCTGTAGGTGGGACACCGCCTCAGCATGACCGGAGAAGCGGTGCGTCGGTGTGCGCCAGGGATCTGAACCCGGGCCGCCAGTAGCCGAGCGCACGCACTTAACCGCTAAGCCACAGGGCTGGCCCAGTAGGTTCTATTATTATGTCCATTTTATAGGTGAGGAATCTGAGGCACAAGAACAGGTAAGTCTGTCACCCAAGGTCACAAAGATAGTAGGAGGTGGAGCCAGGATCTGAATCCAGGTAGTTTTGTACCAGCTATGCTGCCATGGATGTATGTGAAGGAAAAAGAATTGATAGGATCTGACTGTTAAATTACATTAGACATAAAACAGGAAAGAGGTAAAGATGACTCTCAAGTGTTTCCCCTGGTTGACTGTGAGGAGGACACTGTTTAGATAAATAAAGAGACTAAGAAGAGGAATTAGTTTGATTGGTTTTTACACATGTAGACTTTGAAGTAATGGCAAGATGTCTACGTGGAAAAGTCCAGCTGGGCAGGAGATCAGAACTGGAGATGTAGATGCGTGATTTCTTTTTTTTTTTTTTTAAGGATAAGGTTTAAACTGTGGTATTGAAAACACTAGTGTGTGTCTGTCATAGCTAAATGACAGAAGCCCAGAGGGAAGAGACGACATTATGCAGGGGGAACTGAGGTCCTGCTACTGCATAGGCCAAAGACAGGCAGTGTCAGGGAGTAACACCAAAGCAGGGTGAATTGGCTAGAGTTCTTAGGTCCAGACAACAGGGTACCCTCCTTTGGGTGTAAAGAGAAATATTAAGCTGGAGTCACAAACGCGAATGGCCAGAGTTGAGGCTGAAAGGTAAACAGAGGCCATATCAGCGAGGGGCATCATCTAACGTGCGCAGTAAATGTTGTCAAGCAGGGAAGGGTCACAATTAGATGTACATTTTAGAAAGAACCAGTCTGGCTGCAGCATGAACAGTTCGGGCAAATCTGGGCAGGAGGTGTCACTGGGATCCCGATGTCGGCAGCTGCTGGCTTGGACCAGCTCACTTGGTGGCAACTAGACCCAACTCTAATATAACGGGCCTGAGGGTAACAGTACCAAACGAGGCTCACATACCATGCGAATAAATATTTAAAAGTTATAAATCAAGCTAGTAAACTGTCAATTAAAATTTCCTCTACCCTCCTACCTTGATACATACATGCTCATTATGACCGGGAAGGGAGGGGGGAAGCCTGGGCGGGACTGACTGGATTTAGGCGGGGCTTTCCTGGAACCAAGGCAGAAAAGCGCGGCGACGGCCTAGATGCCGAGGGCCACAGCGACACCTGGCTCTCCTCGGAGCGCCGTCCCGAGACGCTTCCCGCCGCCTGGAAGCACGCGGGTGGACCTGCTGGGGGCGTGGCGGGGCGTGGCTGCGCGCCGACGGCGCGGGGTCAGAGGGCATGCGGCGTGGGTGTCATGGCGGTCTCCGCGCTGGGGTCGGCGTGGGGCCCGCTGCGACTTGGCGT